AAACTGGCGCCATTATAGAGTTATAGGGTTTTATAATTGTAACGACAACTGAAAGTGAAAGATGTATCGTTAGTTGAAACTTGTCCTTCTTTATCGCTAGTCTGCGTAAAAGTTGAGCGTTCGATACCGGCATTAAGATTGATAAACTACATACGTTAAAGTGGTAAAGTCGGTAGTCTGACTGGTTTATTTATTTTGAGAAGTTTTCTGCCTCATTCCGTGTTGTATTTCGTGTCGTAGCGGTGGCAGGGTGGTATATGGGCTTACCGTAAGTATAGGGTTTAGAGTGCGGACTATTTATTTGTTTTCTAGTACAAGTGGGGTAAAAATTAAAGCGGGGGTAGGCAAGTGCGTGCGTATCGTAAATCAGAAACTTTAGGGTTGTGTTGAACTTTGAAACGGGTAGGATGAGAATGTGTAACGTCTCGAACGAACTACTGTACATATTTATGATACATTTATCAAAAACGAAAGGGTCCAGGAGTTTCATGCTTCTGAGTAATTAAAGTTTTGAGGTCAGGGAGGATAGTTGTCGTAAAAAGCATTTAAGGGAGTGTTTCGCAGCCCCTGTAAGAGGTTTGGGAAAGCTCAGGTGCGAGTTGAAGTTTACCATGAAAGCTTAATCTGAATCCACAGTGAAACGGTCAATAAATTACGCTAAATCTAAATATACATCGACCTCCGATCTCAGACGTTTCACACTCACTTTGATTAAGCAAGAGGAGGTGTGAAATATACCGTGGGGTTCACAGAATTGGATTAGCGGGGGAATCACACTTGTATCAGTATAAAATATGGATTACAAAGTGTTTTCTTTCACCTCGAGGTATTTGCATAAAGCTCAGACAACTGGAAGCGCAATTCCATAAACACGAAACTCTTGAGCTTTATAAATTACGCGTGGCTGGTGCGTGCATCTACTTCTAGCTGGTTGGGAAATTTCATCAATTTGGTGACGGGATAGTATCACCACTAGATTATGAAGTGGTAGAGGAAACAAATCTTAGGTCATTCTCCGGAGCTTTAAAGGCGGTAGACGGAGACAAATTGTGTCATTACTCTTGGGGGCATCCTTAACTGACCCCTCAGTCAAATATGGTTGCGAGTTCCGGCTAAATTGTACATTTCTCATTAACTGCAACAACCGCCAACAGCTACATTCGTTACTTCATTAGGATAATACCTCAATCGTTCAAGATTAAATTTACCACCGCCCCTTGGGAGCGTTTCTTTGTCCCTTCACTTCATTATCGCCATTTTGAAACGATCAACGAAAACTGAGTGTTTTTTGTGTTGTCAAACAACATATAATTCCGACTTGTATTATTGCCACAAGAAACAAGAAATAAACGACTCAGTTCCGTGTACATGTCGAGGTCATGCTTTAGTTTGTGATGTATGACGTCAAAAGTTCCCTAATATCCAAGGAAATATATAGTTCCTGTCTAAGACGTTAGTTTTATAAAGAATTATTCTTGTGGAAACTTCCAAGTCGGTGGTGTTTCTTTGAAGCTTTTTTCATTTCACTTGACAGGAAGCGCAGTTTACTATAACTAGCTTTTAATAGCGCCACTTTTCTTTCAAAATTTTACAAAGCCGACAAAGGTTAAGGGAAGACGCTTATTATTATTCATTAACTTTACTAGATTCTTACATTATTACCCAAGAGCTTAATAGAACTCCTGAGGACAATGCGCTTCTGATTAATGGATATTTTTTCAAACAAAAACTTCACCAAATTAATAAATACTTGACGTTCAATGCAAAGTTAGCTGTTGAAGGTTAGGGAAAAGTTTGTGAAAAGTGTTATCAAGAAAGGGGTGATCTAATATTGTCCCTATTTAAAACACTGTCACAATAGGTGATACAAAAAGTTCCTCTTTTTGTGAAATTTTGAGTCCTCAGACACTTTCAGGTAACCTAGAACACTACAACTAACATTTTCTGAAATTCGCACCAATGATGGCCATAGTCAGACTATGGAAATTGACCCAAAAGTCAAATATCATATTTGACAGACGGCTTTAAAGCAATTATTTAGGTTAGATAAGTTTAGGCATGGTGTGATGTAATACTTTGTGCTAACTAAGCAAAAAGGGTGTACATTCCACATATTAAAATTACAACAGGTAGACTGTGAAGGTATTAAATCCCTTTAAGAGTGACAGTGGTCAGCGACACTCTGACAAAGGTTCAACCCGGGGATTGTTTCAAAGCAATGCAGTTTTAATGTTAAGTGGCTCAGATTTAGCCTTTACACAACAACCGTCATAAAATATGCCTGTTATAACGTCGTCCCGTTGCTGCGGTTTTGTCTTAACTCGAAACGCTGGTAATGTTTAATTAAGCAGACATGGAAAGTAGGTGTGCGTGAGTAGTAACAATACTCCCTGGAAATCCAGATGATGACACTTCCGACACATTGACCACACATCGATCTCACATCAGCAATTAACAACGTAATGACGCCGGTTTTGGTCTCGAGCTCTTGACTAGCATGTGTCAGAAGTGTAATAACAAGATAGATTAGAGTAACCCAGTGATCCGGCAAATTGCCGACAAATCATATTATTGGAGATGAGTTTTTCATTAGGAATTTGCAAGCAGATCAAATAGAGGCAAACGGTGAAAAAGTGTCAGTAAAGAATTCGAAACAGCTCCGAGTCGAAAGTAAGAGGTTTCATTTACGAAACTTGACAATAACGTTCCGATCCCTTCACTAACTAGGCGTTCGTCTTGAAAGTCTAATAGGAAAAACGGAACGTAAGAGAAAAACATTTGCTCGAAAATGTCGGTATTCGATTGGAGTTGGTTTTGCCGTTCTTGCTACATAGTATATCGGGGAGGCTGGAAACGAACAAAATTTAATACAGCTTCAATTAGAGCTAACATGCTGAAAGTGTACTTTGCCAGCCTGGATTAGATTAGTAAATGAATACCAGTGCGAAGGGGTGACTCTAACCACTTAATCCCCACCGTGGTATTGTGATAAAACCCACGTTTTTATGCAACTTTTTCATATTTCATCCCCGTATCGGCAGCAAACAATGCTGAATTAAAAACAACACATAAATAAATTATCCCTTTGTCGTTGATTAAAGCGTCAATATTTGACCGGGTTTTGTTTTAAAACGCGACAATCATTTTAGTGGAAATTATTTTTCCTAACGGGAGATAATTGCTCGATGCGCTGAGCAATTTCATCACTCATTTATTTAGAGCATTGAAATTTACAGCTATAACATTCTTTGTCTCCACTTACTTTCACGCATCTTAACTAACCGAACGTTTCTGTGAGTTGGAACACATGTGTATTGAGACCGGACATCAACTCACGACGGCTTAGCGCAGGCTGTTCATGCGACTTTCAAGAGAACACTCATCCAACAGAAACAAACTGTAAAAACGTGAAAGTAACCATTGTTCTATGATACAAAGCTTGTTTTAGATTAGGGTTTAAAGACGTCTTTGTTATTCTCTCAAAATCAATGGCGCCTCGTGTACCTGGTCGAGCAAGGAAATTTGATTTGGTTGTGTCGATCCTCAGCGACTAATTAAAGCCCTCTGAAGTTCGAATGTATTCGGCATAGGTTTACAGCGAAAGATACATGATTAAAAGCAGCATAATGATCCTTTGTATCCCATCGCGTTGTTACTTCTGCAAGGGGTTTAGGAAGTTTTAAAGCTGACACTGGAGATAAGTTTCCTATACAAAACTTCTACTCAACAAGACAAGGTTTTGCACAACGCGCCCTGTATGGCAAGAAGCTGCCAAATACTTCCCTATTATCCATTTTGATAAAGATATTTGCGTCAATTTGAATTGGCAAGCACGATATGCACATATATTTTATGAATGAAACTGGTGCTGCGGAAAAAGGTTTTACTGGTTTTAGATATTCCATGCAAAGAGGAAAAATGTGAGATCGTGAAACGGTCAGGCAATGTTAAGCGGCGCATAAGTGGGCGAGATCAGCAATGACGCTGCTCTAAAGCGGTAAGCTCAAACAAGGAGCTTTTGTGCTCGAAATGATCTATTGCCTTCATTTTGGACCCTCTGCGACCCGCTGTGTCTTATATAACGGCGAGAATCTAGGATATCGCTTTATGCCTCCGTAAGTTGTGTTATTAACCGAAATTGTATTTAAAATCGTCCACAAATCAATTGGTTTTTACGACGGGGAAGGTTTTAATTAAGAATGTCGTCGAGATGGTGTCGTTCGATGAAGCAATCAAGACCCAGTCGAAGGCTATGGGTTTATATCAAAGACACACGCACTCAACCCTAAATAAATAAGCGAAATCACTGTATCCCTGTTGTCGACTACCTTTCACCCTCTCAGCTAATGAACGTGTCACCACCAGAATGACTAGTGGTCTTCATTTCCTATAGTGTCTGCGTAACGCGCCTCCATTGTACTTTAAATCATACACGGTGATTAAGTAAAATTTGTTAATATCAAAATGTTGACATTTGACACAATGTTGACAAATGGGGTTGTCAGAGACAACGTCCACTTTATTATTTGGGGAGAGGTAAACTAACACCAACATCGGGTGAAATTATGACCGCTGACCCTGCTCGACTTTTTGTGATTGATGACGCGGCAGCCGTGTACTAAACTTTCGTGATAACTCCACCTCTTTCCATTCGCGACATATTTTTATTTTTTACAAGTTGCGCCCCGAGGGAATTAATTTTCGAGCGAAATAAAGATAAACGGTAACATCATTTCATATCTTCATCATGCGATAAGATCGAAAGGGTCGCTCTTCCCTTCGCCACAATTAAAAAAATTGGATTCACTTCTATTCGGAACGTGCAAGGAAATTTAAATTACTAATCTGAGGCAGGCATAATTCATTCTTAGGTTTATGTGTGCGACAGTTCCCAAGATAATTGCATCAGGGGCTTAAGTATGCGGCGAGCAAAGCATTAATAGCTTAAAATCTCTAAAATATACCCTATATGCTTTCATGATATTACCTTTTTCTTTCAGATCTCGCTGTGTGATGATTACAGTCTGCCAGTAGACAACGTCGGCAACAAAAAACGACCCAATAGCATCGCAGTTCCTAGTCTCGCCGAATGGAACATCTCCAGTCCAAATGAAGAAAAGGTGAGAATAACAATTCATTGAACTACGATTATGCGTAGCCAACTCTAAACCGCAAACTTTTCGAACATAGTTGATAGTTACTTGAAACTTTCAACAACTTTTTCACAACAACCTTACGACGTGGGGTCATTTTGGCGTTTATTTATTCTGTAGTTCCACAAGAAAACGTTTGATTCCAAATTGTGTATTTATTAAGTGTGATCCTGAATCGATCAAGTAAATATTGGGTCGTAAAATCTCAGCCTCTCTGTCTAAGAAGGGGAAACTGTAGACACAGTGGACAATAATGTGAATACCATCATCAAATTTAAACGACTTTTTTCTTATCGCTTGGTTTTATGACTGTTTGCATTCGTGCTAAATTCATCAATAATGCTCCATAAAAGTGACAGAAACTAAACTAATTTCGCCCGACGCATATTCTAACCTTACTTTTTTTAAAGTTAGGTGGTTGTTAGTGTACAGTTTTAATTATAATTTAAATACTTCCAAAATGTGTAACAAGCGAAGGGAAAGGCGAGAGAAGGTTGTAACACGTATATTAAACTACCAGCAGCCATACTAAGTTGGATCTATAAACTTTGTTAACGACTAAAATTCGCACTACCGCAACAACAGGCCACGATAAACTAAAAATAAACAAAATAGGGGTAGCAAGTTACTCCAGTGTCAAGTTTTTTAATGAAACTACGGAATTAAATTCTCCATTCCTTTGAAAGATTTCTCTTAAACAGCAAAATAAACGTGAAAATGCAAACTTAATTGTCGGTAACGTAATACAGAGGAAAGTGAAAATGACCTGTAAGTTGGAATTTGCTAATGAAGGGAGAATAAGAGACAAGACATTATTATAAGGGAGGACGCACGTTTCCTGCTACCAACGTGAACGCAAAACTTTCACTTTACACTTCAGTAATAGGGTAATAGCACGTAGATGCTTAGGAAAGCTGATACTGTGATACCTGACAATTCCGGCTTGTCTACTAAAATTGTTGTTGTCTTCATTTGAATATATTCCGAGCTTATGTTACCTCCACCCGGGTCCTACGATATACAAACAGTGGTATGTAGCACACGTGTCACTGCCATTTAGTTACAACACAAAAGTTACTAAAAATATAGAGGAGTATCGGAATGATGGAACGTTTAATTTTTATTACGTACTTCATGAGTCTCACGCAGTGTCTCAGTTGGTATTTCTGCCAGAATCAGTAAAAGCAGATGTTCCGTAGCGTGTAGATCTCTTTATTTTTTACGAGGTTTATTATCCTCGGTGTTTGCTAGAGATTTACTTCCCCAATTATGGGAAGAACTGAAGCGACAAATATTGTTAGAGTATGGCTGAACTATAGCATACGTAAACAATGGATTGGAAAAATGTGTCAATTAAGCTGTCCTTAGGTTTATCCTGATTTAAATTCAATAGGCTGTGTAAAAAATATGAACTCGGTTTTTTCGGCGCTCAATTTTTAGATTTTTCAGATCTTTCATTTAACTCTGCATCAATAGTTATTAGGTTATGGTCATATATTTGGTGTCATATGCTTGTCACCTGGGTATGGCGTAAAGCTTGTCAATCATATTGTCTAGAACAAAGATCTAGTAGATTCAGTATATCTGAACAACACTTGTACATAATTCAGGCAGCAATTCTGTTTTTACAACATCGCATCTGTGGCACTCTTGAGTCTTGAGATTATCGGAAAGATCTTCACTTCTAATGCGATGATCCTTAAAAGTGTCAATATATTCAGAATTCTGCTTGCTCTTGGGATAACTGTGTTGTAACAACGTTATTAAGAAATATAAAATGTTTGCTTAGCATCCTCCTCACGCCAAATATTACCCGAATATATCGATTCTACTACAACTGAATGCTCAATAAATGACTTATTAATATTTATGAAGAACTCCCCGAATTTCGTAGTTTCCATTAACGCCACTCTGCAAATAAATCAGGTTGTTACAAATCCTTGTCAGCACTCGGTTTTTGTATAATTCAGAAAGGTTGTTCAGTAAATAAGCGATTGTTTTCGTACCTGACTACGTAAATATTATCTTGAAAATTCCGCTCCATATTTCACGAAAAGGCGGCCATAATTTAGTGTTTGGAAGAAAAGTTTCCGAAGATTCTTATGAATATGATGGTTTCAATGGATTTCAATGGAGTCGAAAAATTTATGGGGAGAGGGGTTGAATAAAGAAATTTCTTGGATCCTCCCCCTTTATTAATTATTAATTCCGGGCTATTTTTGGCTGTACTAAAAAGAGAAAAAGTGCACAAGTGAAATGGCATCACTCCAATTAATCCGACACGCTCAAGCGTTGGTTACTTCATTACTAATTAATTAATTGTGAACAAGTATTTTATTACGTTAGCAAAGTAAATTAAACACAAAAGAGTGGAGGTGTATAAAACCCCCAAGCGTTTGAGTGATTTTAATTAATAATCATCAACGGTAAACAATTTTCTCCGCGTTTATTCACAGGACGCCCACAATTTGTTGTTTATTTTTATTTCTGTCTTTCACTGCATCAGATTTTATTTTTAAATTTGCCGTTGTATTGCATCCCTTGAGTGGAAGTTTTTACCCCGATTTTTTATTAAAGAGATTTTTGTAGAGCGGAGCTGGTTTCTTATAGCACCTTAATTATGATCTAGTGGATCTGCTAAAACACGACACGTCATGTTGACATGAAACACTTCCTGTCAAAATGTATACATAAAAAACAAAAATACAGCTTTTAATCAGATCGTATTCCTATTTATATAACCAGACTAGGTGCCTTTCAACGTATAAAGATCCGCTAGTCTTTGTTTAGTAATAATTCAATAGATTAAACTCTGGCTTGTTTCTTCAACTCCTGTCAACTATCAAACTTGCTGCCTTTGATCTCAAATCCTATTTACCGCACTTTCCCTTTCTCGAAAGCTTCCACATCTCGGGCCGTCAGTGCCCAGAATTTTCAAACTTACATAATTTCTGGTGCGCTCTTGACGTTCCTTTGTGTTAATTCATCGCTATATATTTATTCGACGGGATCTCACATAATACGCTTGTTAATTTTATATTAATAAACAAACTTTGGAAGTTAATTCAAGGACGCAGAGGTAATGCTTTTGCACAAGCACAAACCCGGTTAAGTCAAGGCCAAACAAGAAAACGGGTCTAGCCTCCCACTACCGTTAGCTGTATGTGTTGCTAGGAATAGGTGTGGTTGCTCGCTTAGCGCGTGTCTGTTACTCATCTGGATTATACAGTGTATTGCTTCAAATAACGAAATACAATATATTGCATCATTTCTAAGGTTACTTTGTATTTGTCCCAATAATAACTTGTGTTGTAATGTGTAACTTAATCTGTCAAGTCTGTGATGTCACCGTGATGACCGACAATTAATATTCTCACGGTGAAAACTGATACTAGATGTCGTCATTTGCGTTGTGGCATACCATCAACATCGTATCGTTTAAATAACTTGTTTCACGTTTCAGTGAGGTAAAATTTCTCTATAAATATCGCGCAAATTCCACCACTACAAAAAAGTAATATTCTACAATTTGAGGCAATCCAATTCAAACAAAGAAGTAGACGAAATACAACGGCGACAAAAGAAATCAATAAGTTTTTGTCTTTTTTTGCTTATGTCGACACATTTTACTTTTTGGGGTGATAGTGAACCATTTGTCCGGAATAAGAAGTGACAATTTATCGTGGATTGAACCTAATTTGTATTCGCAAAAAACGCCGCTATTAGTAAAGCTGGCAGCATTCGCATTTTGTTGCTGTTCGTGAGTGAACAAGGGAGGCTGTAGTGATTACTTGTCCTTGAATAGGGTCGGACGAATAATTAACTTTAGTTTAAGATTCTATGGCAAACAGTGTATAAAGTTACAAGATAACTGAAATCAGAACAGTAATTAGTTGGGCGAGTTTGCGGCGCCTTAGGTGAAAGCTGTTAAGGGTGGAATAGTAGAGATGTTTGAATCAGTTGAACGATTTTTGAATTTATCGAACACGGTTTTCCCTAGCCTGTTTAGAGTATATTTATGGCCGGGACTTGACCGGCATAGAAAGCAATCGCATTTAATTTGGGGGAGTTAAATCAATGTAAATTGTTTTAGTTATACGCACCAAGAAGGAGGAATCGTCTTTGGAATTCCTTCAGAATTGCTGGAGTGCTTTAGAGGATCCTAATTGGAATTCCTCAATATCAAAAAACGACTTGATTGTAACAGAGCTGTCGGTGCTAGTTAGCAGTTTGGCAGTTGGTAACGGCAATAAAGTACTGAACAACCTTCAATTAAGGAGATGGGATTTTATAAAAAATTGTATTAATAAAATTCGGCATTCGGGTTCATAATCCCGATGTCAACTTTCACATTATTAAATTCATTTGTGCTAAATTAATTTGTTGGGTGTGTCAAAATCGACTGTAACAATAACGACACCTGTTCCTGCTGACCGCATGCCATTGTTGACATACGGTGACATTTAAACGAGTTGCCAACGCTTTTGAAACCACTGCCAACTGTGTCTCAAAACTTATTGTACTTCAACCCTTTAATATTCCGCATCTTGATTTCTATAATACTTGTGCAAACAGTGGTGTTGGGCAACAAATCTCCATATTCATTAGAAGAGAAGAGGTGACAGATCATGATCTACCCTTTTGTTGTCAGAGATGAGACAATTTAGCCCCTCGATCAAGCTCAATATTTAATATAATTTCGACTACTGTGAAGGTTGCATTTTAATTACTGGAATAAATTTCCCCCAGGAGCAATAGCAAGAGGTTTCACCATCCAAATTTTATCTTTTGTCTATTAATGAAATCTCGTTGTTTATTCATTTTTGTTGGGGTCTCGAAACAAGAGGAATAATTCATTGTCAGCATAACGAGATTTGTCAAATTTGATCGTTTCTATTGTTTTAGATTGAAATTTTGGAGACATACTCGACTCCGCGCGACTCAAGGCAACAGTTAATTCAAGAGGAAGTTGAGACCAAATGCTTCACAAGTCCTGATCGAGAGTACTCGCAACCCTACACTACAGGTAAAAAATACAAATTAGAATAAGGCGCTTTTCCTTCCCTTCGTCGAATTTATTACGAAGTTATATTATTTTTCGAAAGCTCTTAATAGTTACAGCGAGGGAATCTCATTTCATTTCAATTTGTAGCGAGCAATTCCATTATCTGTAGTTTGAAAAATTTGGGTAACTCACCGAGGGTTAATAACGCATTCATTGGAGATGAAAGAAGTCGCACTGAATAGCTTGATTTACTTACGCCGTATAGCAAACATCAAAGCTGATATCAAATAAAGTCACTCTAGACGTCTGTTTGGAAAGGATTAGCCCTCGGAAGTTTTCTCCTTTTCATTATATCGTGCCCTTGACACAATTCGCATGGTCCAAGGCACTCATGTGGAAGTAGAATATGCCAAATAAGCACTTCCACGTGAATTCAATTTGGCTTTATATAAAAATCGATAGAGAATGAAGACATTATAAAGTCGCCGCTGAGGTCTCGATAAAACCATGAACTAATGTTGAAAGTTTCCAAGTTGTGATTTATATCTCCCATAAGGTAAAAATGTGGGGCGATGACACACTCTGAGCCACTCAAGGGTGAAAACGAGCATTAAAGTATCGGGAGCGATAGTAATCTATATGTTACGAGGGTGCTACTAATTATTAACGTATGAATAATTTATCTTCACTGTTTTACGAGCAGATAAGGCTGCTGTCTCACCAAATTTCTTTTATCTCTAAAATAAACTCAACGTAAACAAAGTGGATTCATAATTGCTCCTGTAGAACGAGCACGCGGAAAAGAACATGATTATGTTGTTTTAATTTTAATTAAGATAACCAGGGCAGTTGCTGCAACTTATCTTGACGTAAAACGATAACGCTACTTAGAAATCAATATCTCTATCAATTTTTCGTAACTTCTAACATAACCTCACTTATGATTTGACGGGTTTAACGCAACTGTAGTTTTTAATGTGTTGTTCACCCGAATTGTAAACCTTGTCGTTACTAATAATAATAAAATAGAGCGCATAGTATTTAATTAATAACAGCGGTACTCAGAATAGCATAGCTAATGGATTGTGGAAATTCGGTGTCAGTTTCTCTGGTTCTAAACATAAACCGGTGTTGACATTCCCATGATTCAGAAATTATTAAAATGAGCGACCAAACCAGACCGCATATACAGGATGTTCGTTTTAAGTTATCTAAACGAACCCTCGTTTCGTGTTACTTACACGTAACGATCGATACATCGTTTTACATTTGAGTGGAATATGAAAATGCAATATCCGCGAAGAGCACTCGACGAGATCAAAGTCACAATTTGAGAATGTTTGTTTTCAATATTCTTTGAGGACTTTATAACTGCTACGTAAGTATGATACAGTTTAGGGATTGTTGATTTCCATTTCAGCATGTTTACAGTTATTTTTCGTGGTGGTAATCATCGTCGGACGTATTTGTCGAATTACATTAATCGCTTCGGATGCTCGCGACATGTGTGGGATATTGCTCACGTTCCCCTAATCATCATTACAATATAATTAAATTTGGGTGTTTCCACTCCGAGGCTAATGCACTTCCCTATCGGCGTCACTTAATATTTGAATTTCCCGCCACTTCGAGCTGTGCAACTCACGCCTAATTGGTCGCTTATTTTGAAGATTTCATTTACATAATGCTCCTATCCCAAGGGCGTTCCATATTTTTGCGCACTCTATTAAAATCGCTCTCAGCGTGATGGCCCTTCAATTATATTTAGGGAGGTTCGCGTTTACAAGATTCCGACGAATCGGTGACAGCCACGACAAAGTAGTTTTCGCTAATTGAAATTTCTGATGACACGATTACGCTAAATCGATTAACAGCATCGCGAAACAAATTACTCGAAACTTGTTCTAACGTGTCTATAATTAGAAGACAAAACTATAAATAACTTGGCGCGGGGTTGTTGTACAGAGGGAGTGAAAAACTCTTCTTACGCGTTTCCGTGAATAATTACTAAGGCTGGTATTGAAGGGTTCCAAAACGTAGAACATAAAGGGTTGAAAATAGCAATTAAACGTTGTGGTCAAGGGTGAATCATACTTGTCCTAACCGTATTTCACCAGCATTCGCCCGCCGGTAATCTCGCTTCACCATTTTCATTTCCTAAGCATTTCAAAATAAATAGCCTGTCTAACTCACTTTTGAAATAATAACAAGTTTCCGTTCTACGTAGTACGTACTAACAACATTGGTCTGCAACGCGAATATTTTAGCAGCGTTTATTAAAACATTTCTGGATTTCGTTTTTGAAACGAAAAGCGAACGAAGCTCGCGACATTAACGTTTTAAAAGCAAAATAATTCTATGGCAACATTCCGTTAACGGTTACCTCTAACCTAACAATATTTTCCCGCTCTATAACTAAATAACTTCGGCAGAATGTCACAAAGGTTAGTAACGTGCTACGTCGTTAAAACTTCTTTGTCCGAGCTCACACTTTTCGATTCGCTGCTCAGTCGGTCGGACGAGATAAAACGCACCATATGGCGAATCATTGTATTGGTCGCCTATGGGTTGTTCAAAAATAAAACGGTCTCGTTTATTTTATTACTTATTTGCTACGTGTTGTGATGCCTCATTACCTAATTCGGGGTTAATTTTGCGATACGAAACCTTTAGTATGGCAGTGTTTCCACTAATGGCAAATAACAGAGATTTAGTTGGAACGTTAATGCTTGAATATGTTGCTCACACGCTCGGTTAAGCAGTTGTTACATCGATTTAATCGAAAATAGACGCATAAAACGTCAAGCATACTCTGTCTTAAATTGGAATCTCTGAAATTCAAACCTTTAGGCAAATCCCGTTTGGGAAAGTTTTGCTATTGGAACTCGGATTCAGTTTATTAGGAAATGCTAGAAATGTTAATAAGGAAATTTAGCGGTTTCATGTCAGGTTTGAGACACCAGCTAGAAATTTATTGAAATTTTTGATCACACGAGATAATAGATAAATCAAATTACTTTTTATGATCAAGAAACCTTCCCTCAGCCCTCGTTCGGACCAAATGTGAATGTCGTATTTTGTTTCCTCGACGTGGTGCAGGTCGTAAAATGCGAAAATGCCTGTTATCTGTCTGTTGACTATAATTTCCCAAACTATCAGTGAAGACGATAAAACTCTAACCAGAATTTATCTATTCATCCGGACCAAAAAATGGATGACGTCATCAAAATATTCTTACGTGTCACCTTTGTACCGACATAAATGTCTCTGTTTGCTTCATTTCCATAAAATTAATAAAACCGCATCACTCTATGTCCAGTGTTGCGATTCCAGGGACCAAACTTGTACAGATTCGTCCAAAAATTAAGTTATGTCCCACGATATTATAGTTAGCAACATGTAATGACAATAGTAATAATAATAATAATAATGTTCCGTTCCAACTGGAACGCCATTCCTATTTGTTTCCAGGTTTGCCGCTTATTGACGTTTTATAATGCAACCCCCAAGAGCATTACGCACTAAAATTATTATGAAGGGTGTGTAAAAACGAATTTTACGCCACTTACCCCCTCGTATCTTTTTTAATAAAAGTTTTATGTTTTTAAGTTTTAAATATTCTCTACTATAGTTTTATTCCTTTAGTCGATTACCGCAAGTGCGTTTGATGGCTGCAATCCCCTTAACCTCCCTACAAATCCCCCGCCCTCCCCCCATTACCAACACCTCGGTCGCGATTTGTGATAATGAAGAAAAAACGGAAAAGCTTGCTCCAATTTACGCTCGGTGAGCTTTTAATATAGTGTCGCTTATAAAAATGAGTCGGTCTTATAGGGACATAGTCAAAACGAGGTTGCGATCATTTTTAAAACGAGATGGGCGTTTGTTAGCATGAAGTGGCGTTAGGGGCAGTAAAACCCGAGGAACAGGAAGTTCCTTTAGGACATAAGTGAGATCATAAAACCAAATAAATCAAGCATAATAAACATTCGGTTGGCTCTCCCTTATCCTGTATGTCCAGGATATTCGGTCGATGACGTCAGTGACGGAGACAGCCGCTCGTGGTGGTTTAGGGAGCTCAAGGCGTCATTTACACGAGCCATCCATCAGCCCCTGGATAAAACGGACGCATTTTTCATCCAGTCTTTTTGTGCACACACATTTCTGCAAGCATCTATCTGTTAATTTCGGCCATTATGCAGATTGCAGCCGTGTAGACGAGCATAAGAACAAATTCGGTTTAAGTACTAGGAGGGGACTTTGGTGATCGCTCATTCGGTTTTTAAATATAGAAGCTTCCGGGGAATATAATGGCATTATTAACGTCCTGCTTTTAAATATTACAGAAGCACGTATTGAATTTTTGCCCACAAATAGGACAAGTAGGTTCAACGCCTTATGTGTTCAGAATGATCCTAAAATTGGGGTACCTACACATAAACTGCAACCTCCGATACCTATCGAAGGCCACCTAACCTTTAAGTTCTCCAGTTGAGATATTTAAATAAGTTGGTTAAAAAGATACACACTATAGGTGTTTGGAATGTCGCACTCGACTTATTCTTTCTTAGTTAACAAACTGAACACAAATAGTGTCCATCAAACATGAAATAAATGGTACACTTGTAACAACTACACTAAAACCTCCTGTAACGGACACCTTCAAACAACGGACACCAACAGTAAAATTGCGGCATTTTTTGTTATTTTCTTGTAAAATTACCTCTTCACAACGGACAGATAAGGCGGTCCCGAGATTAGACCGTACAATAAAATTTAAAGATTAGGCCAACAGATTCTCGGTAACAGGTCATAACTCCCTTCAACCGCATATCGCTCATTATGAATATGGGTTGCAAGTTGCGGAAATTTTAAAGAAAAATATTATTATTTATATATAACAAAGAAATGCATGTATGAACCTACATTGTATGTACATGTTAAATGTAATGCTTTCTTTAGTTCATGTCTTGAAACCTCTCCACAGCGGTCAATTTGAGATTCCCATGGTGTCCGTTGTG